CATTAGACTTCACCAATCTTTTTCTCTTTACATACCTATAGAAACTTACACAGTCAGTTCTTATGTTCCCCACAAGCTTGTTCTCATACTCTATTTACCCCTTTCTTAATCAAGACTACAATAACACCCTGCCATTTATCCAGTTAGCCACCCTTTCAGAATGCTCTGTTAAATTCAATAAACATGACACCTTGCTATCTTTTATTTAAAGATTTTGCACAGCTGATCGATCAACCAGTTTGTTAAATTATTAATCAGTTTAGAGGAGGGGTCACTAACCTGGAGCATTAACTGATTTCTCTCCACAGATGCTGCCAGACCTGCTGAGCCTTTCCAGCAACTTCTGTTTTGCTTCTGATTTCCAACATCCTCAGTTCTTTCAGTTTTTATTTGCTAAACTATCTGGTTACTTTTGGTAAAACGCTTATTCTTGACTCTCCTTCTGTAAGCATGTTGTGATTACCATTTCCTAGTGCTCCTTGTTATTTTCCATTATGTTTCCCAAGATAAATAAAGCAATGCCTTTTTCTTTCTTTTCTACTAGAAACATACTGTTTTTAAGGAGCATAACTCCCTCTTCTATCCCAGCCAGTTTTATGATCCTTGTGACTTTCCTGTAAGCCTGCTCCCAGGGTCGATTGGAGTGCATAAAATTTGAGCTACTGACTCAGAGGTTTGAGTACAACATTGTGCTAAAGATTCACTCCCTGGCAATTGGTGATCACAAAAAAAGTGATGGTGGAGAACTCATTAATGATCAAGGGGAAGCTGTAGTACTTTGTTGTATTAGCGATGACCATTCCCTGCCTGCTCAATTTCCTGACACTAGTCAAGCTGTATAGGCTGGCATTTGGATAATTCATTCTTGAGAGTTGTATGCAGCCAGTAAATAACAGATGGGCTTTTATTGAAGAAGTGACAATTACAATACAGTAACAGTGAGTTGTGTGAAATGCCTGTCCCATCACATATGGTACTGTGTAATCTGACAAAACAATAAATTAGCAGGAATTGTTGCTTAAGATTGTGGTTTTCTTTACTCATGCCTTTGATTTATATAGGTAATGAATATGAATTGATTATTATTGATTGTTTTCCCCAGTTCTCTTTCTGTGTTTTTGATTGTGGATTGAAATGGAAAATGACTGTTTTAAAATTCAAGGATTGTGGAAGAGATTGCTCGACTTGTTAAAAGCAAGCTGCCTGCAATTTTAATAAGTGCTGTTTACCCTGATGGTTGTTCAATTAGTGGGGAAGTTTAGTCGCAGACAACCTGGAGTCAGAAAGTGTTCGCAAAATGGGATTCAACTGGCAACACACATCTGATTGGTCTGTGGCTTTGGGACGAGATGTCATTGGCAAAGGCCTTCTGCCTGCCAGCACTTATGGCTGCTAGGTAGCTGAACAGCTTGTGGTTGTGAATGTTCGATCAGAAGCTATCGGACCTCCAAAAAGGAACGAACAATCCCTTTCTCAGCAGCAATAAAAATGCACCAAGCCTGAAGAAAGGCCATTGTTTCTCCTCATCAGTTGGTGTAATCTGCGGCTCCTAACCAATAAGAGAGACTTTGAGAGTGAACCAGTCACTCTGTGCCTCCTGAAAGCAAGTGGACATACAGGGAGGAGGAAGATCAAGGAGCAACAGATCCTGGCAAACCACAAGGATCATTTCAGCAAACAATGTGAACAGGGACTATTGAACTGCCTGCACAGTCTTTTCTTTTGTTGATAACACCCTTTTTTTGTGTTTGTATGTGTGTGTAGGGTGAGTTTTCTCAGGGAATTAGAGTTTATATACTGATGGTTTATAATAGTTTGCCTGTGACTAGAATGTATTTATTAGAAGTAAATAGTAATTATTATTGAGTGCAGAAACTGGTCCGTTCTGCATGTTAACTTAGGTCTAAAAGAGATGCAATTTGTGGAATTTTGCATACGTATATAAAGTTTTTAACCTTTTTGACGACTCTGGACAGTGGGACTCAATTTCAAGCATGCTTCTCCAGTGAGACGACGTATTTGGTACAAATGTTCTTTTTGCAAACACATTAACCAAAAACAAAGCTTCAACAGTGCACTCTGTCAAAGATTGTATTGCAGCTTTAACTTGTATGTGACATACTTTTTATACATTTGAAGAAGCAGCAAATAATCTCCTAATGGAAGAGCAAACTTCATTCCTTTAGGCCAGGCAGAAGAGAAAATTTAATTGATAGTGTCTGGGTTTAGTGCCACTCATTAAATTATTTAGGATCATGATTTTATACTTGCACTTAGACATTAAAATCATCTTGCCTGTGGGAGTTATGGAAGCATGAATTCATTCAGTTAGTCATGACGTGTGTGGGATCCCCGGACAACAAAGTAACTGCTAATCGTCACTAAGACGCACTGCCCTTGATTCGGCATTGATACTTGATGTCCATGTGATTGCAAGTGAATCCACTCAGATGTATGCCTCCGGCTATTTCAAATGTTATGTAGTTTATTAAATGTATCACTTCCACATTTAATCCTTCTGAAATTTTGTAGTCTGTGGTATTGAAAAGCTGATCAAGTGCATTTGGATTTCTGATATAAGATATATATTTTAATATCATTTTGTGTTTGAATTTGAGCTAGTAGCCCCTGCTTTTGGTCTGTCTCTGAAGTTTAATAATTAACTTGTAGGCATTTCTGTAACCTGGTGATTTCTTATAAAACAACACAGTTGGAGAGAGACAGTGTTCTTGCAGGCTAATGGGAAATTTGTTTTGCTTAAGAGAGTTTTTGTGAGCAAACAAAGTAAACAGTTGTGCATTAGACTTTCAGAGCAATTTTTTGTTGCTTTTGATTAGGGTAAGCATTCATAGCTTGGAAAAGGTTTTTGGATTTCAGTTGTCAGGTTTGCGCAAGTCTTGGCTGAAGCTGGATGTTTGAAACAGTTGGTCCGAGGCCAGTTAAGAAATAGGTTATCTCTGTATGATGAGTTTAGTTTTAAAGTTCCAAACCAGAAGTATTTGGTTAAAACCCTGAAGGGACTGTTTGAAGCTGACAGCATCTACACACAGTTGTGTGAAGGCTCAAAGAAGAGTGTCTCAGATTCTCAGGACTGTGAATTGAAGCATCTGTTAAGTCAAACGCTAATAGAAAAGGGAGTTCTCTCTCTGTGAGTACTGTAACGGAGTGCAGTTGGATTTAATGGGATTGTAGATTTCTGTGTTTTGAAATCGTTAGCGTAAATAGTTTGGTTTATTTTGTCTTGATTTTAATTTTATGTGCATAACACACTTCTGTTTTATAGTTAAAACTAAATCTGCAGCATATGAAAGACCACCTCGTTAAAAACATAATTAAAAAATAAAATATCAAACCAGATTTCAGGCTGGGATCTGACTTATCCAGTAATAACATTAACTGCAATCATAACCAATGCCATGCTGTTTTGCGACAACCCTATTTCCACAGTGTTGGGATAAATTCGGTACACACATTGATGGAACTGAGTCCAATAACGTTTTATTAATGTATATTTAACAATCACCACACTTCAAATCATCTTACTAAAGGTGTAACTCATTAAAATATTTCTTCAACATAAAACTATGATAAGATGCTATGAAATGCAAATTTTCTTTGAAGGAACTTGCTTTAAACATTTGTTGACAAGCACATGTGAGCCTGGCATAGTTCTTACGCCCTCATCTATCTTTTCACATGTAATAATTTATTAGATTTTCTGTCGAGATTCATTTGCTTCATTGATATAAAACAAATAAAATCAGTTTCTTTGTTCACAAGTTTGCATATAACTGGTGAAGCTAAAAACATCTGTTTGGTGCCTTTCAAAGCTTCAGCAACACAAAATTTCAACTAATATTGTTGAACTTGCTGCTAATGACACAGTCTAGCCTTGTTAAATAACCAGTCAGAATTGCCATATGACCTAATAATTGCAGTCATGTAAGACACTACCCATTCAGTCCTCAGACCTGGCTTTGGACCTAGCCTGCACTAAAGGATGAAGATCTTTGTTGCTCAGTCACTGTCAGTGTCCTGTATGCAATGAACATGAATAATCTCAACCCAGTTCCCAATAACCATAGAGTGCACAGTTCTAATTTGTTACAGGTTGGCTGTTACAGGTTGGCTTGCTTACACACAAAAATCGCAAGTGGTTACTTCAATAGGAAATGAAAATATCACATTGCTTTTTCCAGTATGTTCTTTCCTGAGATGATCATTAACGACATTGTTAGAATAGGGTAGAAGGAACAGTACCCTGTTTCTCCCCTTGATTCTGGAAACACTTGCACCCCCTACTTTGTAGCTGTTATAGGATTGTTGCTGACATGGTGTGACAAGCCTTTTTTGTTTGTGAACCGCAAAAAGTATTTTTTACTGGTTGAAAATCGCTATTTTCTTATTTGCATTAAATAACAGCACTTACTTCCTGGTAAGGTTATGGAAAACATAGAAAATAGGAGCAATTGTAGGCCCAAATTACAGCAGGTGCTGTACTGAAAACGAAAACTGCTGGAAATCAGTGGGTCAGGCAGCATCCATGGAGAAAGATCAAGCTAATATTTCATGTCCAGATTACTGTTCATCAGAGCTGACATAAAGTGTGGAGGGGGCAGCCTGTCAGAGAGAAGAGCAAAACTTCTTCAGGGTGGGCATACTTTGAATAGATGTGGCAGTTGTAGGCTATTTGACTTGTTGAGTCTGCTATGTCATTCATTATGGTTAATCCTCTATTTCCATATTTCTGTCTCCCCTTGGCAACTTTAGGTTCCTGAAATCTAACTTTCTTTCTTAAATATATTCTGTGACTTTGCCTCCATTGACGTTCTGTGGTAGAAAATTCCACAGGTTCACCACCCTTTTGAGTGAAGTCCTCTCAATCTGAAATATCCTATTGCACATCCTGATAGTGAGTCTGACACGTCCAGGTAACTGAATGGTATCACCTTGCAGAAGGCTGTGTCTCAATCTAAATTCTGTTTTCTCTTTTGTTCCAGGGGTTCACCTCCTATACCCAGCACTAGTAGTTCCAGTCTAACCAACGATGTGAGCAAACAGACGGGACCTAGAGATATTTCAGCAGTACCACGGCCAGGAACTGGTGCCACTGGGGGGTCACAGTACACTCCACATTCTCATCAGTTTTCTCGAACACGAAAGATGTTTGATAAAGGTCCAGATCAGGTATGAATCTGTTGGATATGTTACATAGAAGAAAAAATGGCTCGCAGCATTGAAGTAAGTCATTTTTTTTTAAAGTGGGATAATTTAACTAGTGCACCAACAAAGGAAAAATCCGAGGATGGCTGAATGCTTCGTTTGAGAAGAAGGTGCTCCAGGAAGTCCTTGAAGAAAAAGGCACTGAGTGTTATGACCAGTGGAGGAAAGTTCATGACACACTCTTTTTTGTTTAAAAACCCTTCGCGTTCATTTGCAACAAATATCGTTTCATTTTTCTCCTCTTCAATACATGCTGTCTCATTTGAATTAAATTTAGTTCTCTTGATCAAAAATGAATGAGACCCAGTTCTTGGCTTTGTTGATATGGGCAACAAAGACATGAGTAATGAACTTACATTAGGGATAGAAATTCGGAGAAGGAGGGGTATCTAGTACAGACAGGAAGAAAAAATGGCAGTGGCAATTTTTTGAGTCCTTGATTGCAAGAATAAAACCTGAGTCGCACGTGTTTAGCTGCTAGCCTGTTTCCTCAGGAGTTGTGAAACTCTTAGATACGCGTGATTTCACCGCCAACAAAAGATCTTTCCAAGTTGTTTTCTTTTCCGCCACGAGTTTGCTGAGAATTGGAGAGTGGAGCTTTCACATCCTTGCTGTTGCTTTCACTTTACTGCTCAAAGCAAGCTTCTGAAATGCATTTCATTTGTATATTTCAAGTCAAGCTCCATTTTTCTTTTCCCCAAGCTGGAAATTCCACAGGTAACCTTTCATCTCCATATTTGAAGTTATGTCAGTGAAAGTAAAGCAAGAAATGCAAATTTATTGAAACTGCTGAGTGTCTGAATGTTTAGTTAATGTGATAAGTTCAGACAACCCATATGGAATAAAATGAAAACGCTGCCTTGGAATTATCAGGTAATTACAGTGCCACTTTGGGTCAGAGGTGTCTTCTTTTATAAACCATTTTTTGTCCAGGAAGGTGTCCAGTATTAATGTCTAATGATGAAAGTTGGTAATGGTTGATACCTGTTTTCACTGTGATTGTAACAAAAGGTGGAAGGGCCCTAACGAAGGAAATCCTGATCTCAGTGCTTGGATGCCAATGATCGGGCGACAGGAGTTAAAGGTTCACGGAGACGTAGCACTAAGCTAATGGAGAATAATGCTAGAACTGATTAATAGAGAGTATTTTATTTATTAACCATTTGTGGGACATGGGCATCGCTGGTTGGCCAGCATTTATTGCCTGTCCTTAGTTTGCTTCAGAAGGTGATGGTGAGCTGTCTTCTTCAACCGCTGCAGCCCACCTACTGTGGGTTGACTTTCAATGCTATTAGGGAGGGAATTCCGGAATTTGACCCAGCAACAATGAAGGAAAGGTGACATATTTCCAAATCAGGATGGTCAGTGGCTTGGAGGGGAAGTTGAAGGTGGTGATGTTCCCATGTATCTGCTGCCTTTCCCTTCTACATGGAAGTGGTGGTGGGTTTGGAAGGATCTTTGGTGAATTGCTGCAGTGCATCTTGTAGATAGTACGCACTGCTGCTACTGAGGGTGGAGGTTGTGAATGCTTATGGATGTGGTGCCAATCAAGCGGGCTGCTTTGTCCTGGATGGTGTCAAGCTTGTTGAGTGTTGTTGGAGCTGCACCCATCCAGGCAACTGGGGAGTATACCATCATACTTCTGACTTGTGCCTTGCAGATGGTAGACACGCTTTAGGAAGTCAGGAGGTGAGTTACTCGCCACAGTACTTAGCCTCTGACCTGTTCTTGTGGCCAATGTTGGTATGGTGAGTCCAGTTGAGTTTCTGGTGAATGGTAAGCCCCAGGATGTTGATAGTGGGTGACTCAGTGATGGTAACACCATTGAATGTCAAGGGGTGATGGTTAGATTTTCTCTTATTGGTGATGGTCATAGCCTGGTATTTATGTGGCATGAATGTTACTTGCCACATGTTAGTCTAAGCCTGAATATTGTCCAGATCTCATTGCCTTCGAACGTGGACAGCTTCAGTATCTGAGGAGCCGTAAATGGTGTTGAACATTGTGCAATCATCGGTGAACATCACCACTTCCAACCTTTTTGGTGGAGGTAGGTCATTGATGAAGCAGCTGAAGATGTAGAAGGCTGAGATGGATCATCCACTCAGCAGTTCTAGCTGAAGATGGCTGAAGGATTCACAATAGTATCTTTTGCACCGATGTGCTGGCCTCTTCCATCATTGATAATGGAAATATTTTTTGAGACTCCTCTAGTGAGTTGTTTAATTTGTCCACCACTATTCATGACAGGATGTGGCAGAACTGCAGAGCCTGGATCTGATCCATTGGTTGTGGGAATATTTTGCTCTATCATTTGCTGCTTCTGCTGTTTGGCACGCAAGTAGTCCTGTGCCCTGTTTGGTAGCTTCTCCAGGTTGACACCTCATCTTCAGGTATACCTAGTGCTGTTCCTGGCATACCCTCCTGCACTCTCCATTGAACCAGAGTTGATCCCCTGACTTGATGGTAATGGTTGAGTGGGGAATATGCTGGGCCATGAGGTTACAGATTGCGCTGGAGTAGAATTCTTCTGCTGTTGATGGCCCACAGCACCTCATTGATGGCCAGTTTTCAGTTGTTGGATCTATTTGAAGTCTATGCCGTTTAGCACAGTGATAGTGCCACACAACACGATGGAGGGTATTCTCAATGTGAAGGCGGGACATCATCTCCACAAGGACTGTGTGGTGGTCGCACTTACCAAGGCTGTCAAAGACAGATGTATCTGCAGTTGGCAGATTGATAAGGATGAGGTCAAGTATGTTTTGCCCTCTTTGTTGGTTCCCTCACAGTCTAGCAGCTGTGTCCTCTAGGACATGGCCAACTTGATTAGGTAGGGAGGGGTGAAGCTGTCCATTATTTTGAGCATTTTCATATCAAAGCGTTGGTGGACTGCAAGATATAATTGTTCAGTGAGCTTCATTTTTGTCGAGCTGAACTTGATGTGGGTATAGTTAAAGGCAGGAACAGTTTGGTTGGGTTTGAGGTTAAGGAGATTTGAAGATGTGTGGCTGACCTGGAGAATGCTGGAATAGCTGAGCCCTTGAGTGGAAAAAAAAACATGTGGGTTGAGACAGGTGTAGGCACAGGCGCAGAGATGGATGATATTGAAGAGTTTGTCTTTACACAGGAAGTCTGACCCTAAAGTCAATTCCAGATTTATCTTTGCCACATCTTGAGTGCTGAGATATTTAGATGTTAATGAAAAGTGTTGTTTGAAATCTCCACCCATGGTACAGGCAGCTCTCTTCCATGTGCATATAATTCTCTCTCTTCCTCTCAACAATTAAACTAAATTCCTGTTGAGAGCAAGCAAAATGACTCTGATGAATCATTTATTTTCTTCCTTTGGCTGAGGTAATGTTACAATCTTTTACTTTGTGTCAGCTGTGTAATGTTTGTATTTTTTTGAATTGACAGCCGTACAGATTATTCTGAAAAGCAAATGGCTTGAGAGCTATTTATTACTCTCTATATAGTTCTGATTAAGCAGAAATAGAAATGTCTGAGGAGATGCTTTTCTGGGAAAGCTTGCTTTCCCTTGGAGATACTGAAAGAGAGAAATCCTTGATAATCTTTTTTTTGGCAAGCACACAGTGTGTTGATATATAGCTGCATTATCTTGTCTGATGGAGCCATAATGAAAATAATGCCTGGCTTGGCTTCCTCACCCCATCACCAACATTTGACAAAGACCCACTGAACAAAAGGATCTATTCTGTATTCTAATTCATAAATTTGATTTTTTCAAAGAATTGCAACTTAACCAGTGGGAGCTCGGAGCTTTGTTTAGGTGAAAAAAATTCAAGTTTGAAGTTAAAATAACAGTCTGGAATAATTACACTGATTAAGAAAAAAAGGAAGTGATGCTAGATCTTATAGGCTGCTGAAAAGTTTGATTTTCTAGACATTGGTTGCACCAACCATTATAATGCCCATATAATTTAATCAAAATGTTGCGTTTTTGTTAAGGCAATAAAAATACTCAACCTGCGAGTTTCTGATCTTGGTTATCATTGGATGCTTGACTAGTGACCTTGATAAAATACATCAATTTGAGTTGTTGAAGGGCTGTCTCTTCGTGGACTAGTCGTGAATAACTGTTTAGATGACCACAGAATTCATCTATTTATTATTTTAAAATGCCAAGAATATTTTGTGTGACTTTGCAAGGCTCTTGAATTAGAATTGCCATTAGTAGATTTTATGCATTCAGCCAAAGTTAGCAAAGGTGATTGTGATAAAGAACAGTACCGAGTTCAGTGACAACTTATTATGTTACCAACTCAATAATTCAGGATATGGATATACACGTAGTTTTCAGCGGAGAGTCTAAAATTCCTGCTATATCAATTGTTAACAAGAGCAGTTGCAATTGAATAGAACACCTCCTTTGATATATATCTAGATTGCAAGAGCTGGCATTTATGTATCTTTCACAACCTCAGGAAGCTACTGTAATGTGGCTGTAATAGAGCAACCATGTCAAGCAATTTACATACGCAAACAGCAGTCATAAAAATGACCAGACTAACTGTTTAGACTATGGGTTGAGGGATAAAGGTGTTGCCCAGGACATCAGGAGAACTCTGTTCCTCCTCTTCTTTTACAACAGACTGAGAGAACAAATGATTCCTCTTTTAAAGAGAAGCACTTCCAATTAGTGCAGCACTCCTTCTCTACTACAGTGCAGGGTCACTTTACATTATGTACACAAACCTCTGGGGTACAATTTGAACCCACGACTTTGTCTCTGAGACCGGAGTTCTACCTCTGAGCCATGGGAAACACCTTCAATCCCAGCATCCATTATTTTAAGAGATTTGACTTCCCTTGAACAACATTGTTTATTGGAAGATTGCAGTTTAGCAGTATATTACCTTCGGTTGGGCATTTAATAGTTCCAAATTCTTGTCGTGATTTATGAGCATAACTAGTATTTGTCTAAGTGAACATGTGTAGATGCATAATTTTGCATATCACGGAAGAACTACATGGTTTGTCTTTTCTTTTTCTGTGTGCTTAAGAACATAAGATACGGGAACAGAATTAGGCTATTTGGTCGATCGAGTTTGCTCCACCATTCGATCATGGCTGATGTGTTTATCAACCTCCTTCTCCTTGTAACCCTTGATCCCATGAATAATCAAGAACCTTTCTCTTGGAGCAAATTACTGCAGACACTGGAATCTATGCTGAAAACAAAAAGTGCTGGAAATCACAGCAGGTCAGGCAGCATCCATGAAGAGAGAGCAAGCTAATGTTCTGAGTCTAGATGACCCTTCATCACCAGCTCTGATTTCCAGCATTTCTTTGTTTTCAACCTGTCTATTTCTTTTGGAGTGTCACTTCATCCCTTCTTGCAAACTTTATTTGCCCATTTAATCAAAATAAACTGCATTGTAAACTCATATGCATTGAGGATTATGTTGCATGATGCATTTGTATCGGAGTGAACTGCCAATCTGTTGCCATTTGTTGAAGGATAAATTCCATAAAATCTGTACATTGCTGAAATGATTCAGCATGTTGGGAAAAGCGCCAAAGGTATACTGCAGAGGAAAGGGGTATGACATTTCCTTGTGAGAAGGACAGTGCTGGAATTGCAGAGAAGGTTGATCAGCGTGTAAAGGATGTCCTGAAGGGTTATATCCTAAACATTCCCCTTTCTCTCTCCTTCTGAAGCTGAATGACCTGCTGTTCATTTTTCTTTGTTTTTAATTTCCAATTCACAGGCTGTTGTATTTTCATTAGTTGTCACAATCTGTTCTGGTTTTAACATACTGAGAGAGGCAGTGGTATAGTGGTATTGTCATTTGACTAGTAATCCAGAGTCCCAAACTAATATTCTGGGGACATGGGTTCTGAGGAAGGATCACTGGACCCAAAACGTCAACTCTGACTTCTCTTCACAGGTGCTGCCAGACCTGAGCTTTTCAAGCAATTTCTGTTTTTATTTCTGGGGACATGAGCCTAAATTCCATCTTGGCAGATGGTGTAACTTGAATTCAATAAAAATCAGGAATTAAAAGCTGGTATAGTAACAGCCACGTAACCATTGTTGAATGTTGCAAACACCCTTATAGTTCCCTAATGTCTTTTATGGTTGGAAATCTGCTGTCCTTGCCTGGTCTGGCCCACATGCGACTGCAGACTCTCAGAACTGCGGTTCATTCTTAACTATCCTCTGAAATGACCTAACAAGCCATTCAGTTAAAGGGCAGTTAGGGATGGGGAAATAAATACTCACCCAGGCAGTGTCTACTCCCATAGATGAATAAAAAATATTCTCACAATTGTTGTTTAAAAACTTGCTTCGACTCTGATTTAAGGCGTAAGTCTTTTTTTTGTTAAACCGTACCCTCATTATCACAAAATGTTTCAAACCTATCTCGTCTTTTGCAGTTATTGTGTGATCTGCATAGTATCTGAAAAGACAGGACATGTTACACTATTCTAAAACATGTTACCAAGCAATCTGAGCATTTAGAAATGGTGGCCTGTTAACACTGGACTGTTAATCCAGAGACCCAGGTAATGTTCTAGGGAGCTGGGTTCGAATCCCACCAAGCAGATCTGGAATTAAGATTCTAATGATTGTTGATTGTTGGGAAAACCTATCTAGTTCACTAATGTCCTTAAGGGAAGGAAACTGCCCTCTTATGGCCTGGCCTACATGTGACTTTAGACCCATAGCAATGCAGTTGACTCTTAACTACACTCTGGGTAATTAGGATCAGCAATAAATACTGCCCTAGCCAGCAACACCCTCATCCTGTGAATGAATAATAAAAAAAAAAATTCTTGGCTTGGAGCATGTATTTAATTGGAGTTTGACCAGCAAAATGCACACATCTTATCAGCCAGCTGGAACTGCTGTAGCAATTAGGACTGTGAGTTTATGAATGTTTTGAGAGCTAACTTAAAATGGAAGAGTCACATTGTCTTAGCTGTAACATTAAATTTTGACCATTACGGTGTATAATTAGAATTTGTTATATATTTACAGACTGTTGAAGATTCGGAGGATGGAGTTGGGCACAAAAGTTTCATGTCTACAACTATGCAAACAGGTTTCTGTGATTGGAGTGCGAAGTATTTTGCACAGCCAGTGATGAAGGTATTTGAGCTACCTCGTGATTGATTTCTGACTTGCTTATTAACGTAACAAGTTGTTTATTAACTACTAAATTAAATACAATTTATAAATGTGGAAAAATGTTCCTTCTGGCAGAGTCAGTAAGAGTAAACTGTCTTGTCTGATATTTTTGTTTGAATGACCTTAAAAACCTTGAACAATCCTTATTTCAGTTCCATTAACAGCTTGTAATTAATTGTTCCACCTACATTATTCCAAAATTTAATTTGGTGTAATACTGAATTCACTTGCAGTGATTTGTTTTAGATATTTTCTAATCCATCTGTTCAGAGATTTTTTTGTTTTATTCATTCATGGGATATGGGTGTCACTGGCTAGAACAGTATTAATGCCCTTCCTTGATTGCCCAGAGGGCAGTTAAGAGTTAACCACATTGCTGTGGGTCTGGAGTCACCCGTAGGCCAGACCAGGTAAGGATAGCAGTTTCCTTCTTTCAAGGACATTAATGAACCAAAGGTTTTTCCGATAATTGGTAATGGATTCATGGTCATCATCAGACTGTTAATTCCAGATTTTTTAAATTTAATTCACATTCCATCATCTGCCATGGCGGGGTTCAAACCCAGGTCCCCAGGACATTACCTGGATTAGCATTCCAACAATAATACCACTAGGCCATCGGCTCCCCCATTACACACCTTTGGATCAGGTGGAACCTGGGTGTCTTGGTCCAGAGGCAGGGACAGGACCATTGCGCCACAAAAAACCTTAATGATTTTTCCTGTAAAAAATCGTTGGATTAAAACATTCTTTTTTAAAAAAAGTTTCAGAAAACTCCCCCAAATGTTTCTTGTTCTTCAGACCTGCATATTCTGTAACATAAGTGTGGTAATCTAAGACCCATCAATGTCTGTGATGTAAACTGAGTCCATCCCTTACTTTTTAATTTGGGAATGTTTGTTCGTTGATTTGTAAGAGCAATTGTTTGCAGGGGTGGATGCAGACGGTGGTGTGAACAGAAGTGGGGGATGTAATTGTCACTGTTCTAGTAACCCAGACACCCAGGCTCATGCTCTGGGAGCATGAGTTCAAATTCCACCACAGCACCTGCTGGTATTAAAATTCCAATGAAATATAATCTGGAATTGAAAGTAGTCTCAGTAATGGTGAGTATGAAACTGTAATTAACAGTCATAAAAGTCCATATGGATCGCTGATGTTTTTAGTGAAGGAAATTTGCCATCCTTACATGGCCTGGTCTACATGTGACTTCTGATTAATGTGGTTGTGTCTTAACAGCCCGGTAAATTGATCTTGCAAGCCTTGGTTCAAGGGCAGTTTGGGATGTTCAACAAACATTGTCTTCGCGATCAAAACTCATATCCATTGAAAGAATAAAGAGATAAAAGAAAAGCTGGCATCCAGAGACCGTCTGCCAGTTAATTGCACCCTTCTCTTTTGCTTATGGTTAATATTTCTCAAGTGTTTCTTTCCCAGCAGTCAGAAAAAATATTAGCCACCTCAGACTCAATAGCCCAGATATACTTGTAACTAGAGAGTTGCACATTGGGACCATGTGAATCCCCCGATGCAGCTGACTCTGTGGGAATTGCCTGAGAAATTGAATTTTCCAATGAGCAATTCCCCTCCGCGTGGAAGTTTAAGAACACCTAATTAAAGTCTGAGCCAACAAGCCCCCTCCCCCACTACAAACCTAACTGCTCACCCATACATCTGTACTAACCAATTCTGATCAATAATTTAATTTGCTAACCTTTAATTAGCTTAACCTCCGGCTGCTGAGTGAATGAATATACTTGTGCCCAATCAGCAAGAAAGTGAGCAGACCACAAGGTATGCACCAAACATTGGTTACAAATTGGATACAGAAAACATAATGGACTTGTAACAATATAATCAAAGTTACTTTGCAATTTAGTAGCAGATCTTCCGTGGACTGATTTACTTGACAGAATGAGAATCAACAGTTTCACAGGCAATTCCGTGTAACATTGTACACCGTAAATCAATGTGAGCGGATGCAAGGTATTAACTATAACAGTGACCAGAGTGTGAGATTGTAAATTGATTAGATTATTTGTATAGGTGTCTTCAATCTATGTTTAGGGCATTATTTCTACATGATTTATTAGGCTGTTTTGTTGTGGATGCTCATCTTTGTTCCTTACTTTACATGGAATGCAAGTTAGACTATTGGCTCTATTTCTGCTTTGTATCTTCAGTGTTAATTTGGACATCAATTTGAACAAAATTTCTGGCTGCTGGTCCCCCTCCACTGTTTGGGGAGTCCCTCAAGATGTTGTGTGAGTGCTGACCAAATCTCCTTGGTCTCTTTTAGTACCATGAAACACAATCTATCCCCTGCGTCTTTTGAATTCAACCCAAATAGCCTGTTGCAACTTCTGCTTTGTTAATATCAAGATCTTTGCTTTATACTGGGACCAGCTCCACTTGGAGAGAGGATGCTGCTCGTATGTTCTCTTTTACATGTTCCTTTAGGAGCAAATGCTGATTGGAGAGATGAAATAAAGAAGGCATTTAATACATTTACACACATCATTTTACTTTGTTGCAAGTTTCTTTGGGGAAGGTGTGTAATTTTTTTTGCTTCACCATTAAAATGTGTTTGATTGTAACTCGTACAACAATTGAAAGGTACCATCCGTTAGTTGCATCAGCTGCTTGGAAGCACAAGGTGTCACTTTACTTTGAGATACCAATATATAAACCCGATTTCATGCTGGTGCACAAAATTTGAAATCTTTTCCTTGTTTTGGCTCAAGATAAATTAATCTCTCAAATGTTGGGTTTCCCAATTGTAGTACAGCGTCCCTTTTCAGTAGGGAAGGAATATTCTTGTATATAACAGTGATGTTACAGAATAATTTTCTCACTTTAGTCACTCAAGTGGTCACAAATAAAATACTCAGAGATAGTAAGAACTGCCGATGCTGGAGTCAGAGATAATACCGTGTGGAGTTGGAGGATCACAGCAGGCCAGGCAGCATCAGAGGAGCAGGAAAGTTGATGTTTTGGATCAGGTCCCTTCTTGAGAAATGGCAATTCACCCAAAACGTCAACTTTCCTGCTCCTCTGAAGCTTCCTGGCCTGCTGTGCTCCTCCAGCTCCACACTGTTACACATAAAATATGTTTGGTTATTGCGACTTCATCCCAAATACAGGTAATGTCTCTCCATGTTGTGGATTTGATTAATTTTACTTCATCAATGTGAAGAATAGAAGCTTCAAGTTCTACAAAAATAATATAGCACATTGAACCTTCAAGAATATTTGAATTCTTCAGATTGTATTGTTACAAAAAATTTTGAACTGCTCCAAGATAAAACATCAATTTGAAGCAATAAAATTTACATGGTCCGTCTGGTATATTTTCCACAGGTTTAATATTGCACGAAAGATGGAAATATAGTTCATATGTTAATTCATATGTATGAATAAAGATAATGCAAGTTCAATTTTTCTAGATCTGTATCAAATTACATTTAAAATGTGTCCATATTGATCACTGTTATGTAGGGAACTAATCAATTATTTTGACATTTGATTGCAAATTATAATCATGCTGGCTGTCAATATCTCTTACCCTTATCCTTCCTGCATTCACTCATGCTGTCAGTGCTTAAGATCTTGAACTGATTGCTTTCCATAAAAAGAATTTGTCAAATGTGGTTGCTGTGACAGGGCCACCAGGTGTTCAATGTTTGCTCAATGCTGATCTCTACAGCAGTTGTCATACTGAATCCATGGTGTGCTGCAGGTTACCAGGCTTGGAAGCAGAGAAAACACCAAAGTTCGTTGTTCTTGTCTCAACCTAAGAATTTATGCTTCATTTAGGTGGGCATAGACATGGATTAGTTTTGGGTGTGCCTGTGATATTTCCCACAGTGAGGTAGCTGAATGGTATTCATTTGTGATTGTTTACAATGCTTCATTACTGTGCTTATCTCTTTTGTAGAGCTTTGCTGCTAATTGAGCTTTTTCTCTCTTGGTTTTCGGATATTTTCAATGTGACTGTACAGATTATATTATTCGATTAAGTTACTTGAGAAGCATTAAAGGATGATTATTACAAGTGTGTCATGATTAGTTGCTGCTTTTTAATTGCTACTGACAAAATCACCTTCTTATAGCTCTTATGAAAATCATGTGACCTTGCAAGTTCATTAATTAAGACGCAGGACATAGTTTTCTCCTGCTTTTTAGTAAGACGAGCTCAGACTTTACAATTAGTGCCCAAGCTTTTTATGTGAACACATCAGAAGTAAAGTAATGGCTTACTTTATTTTATTACAAAAGAATTTATGACTAAACTGTTGGAAATCTCATTTTCATTACCGACTATCTTTCAACATTGTGACAAATGCATTTCTGAAGCACCTCTTTGAAATATCACATGTCTAAAATCATGGATAACATGTAATGAGAATAGCATGTATTTCTCTAGTGGATATCTGCAAAGTGGTGTTACTACTCGATATGTTCGCTCAACCTTTTAATTGACGAAGTAATCCCATTGCCTAATTAACTAATAATTACTTTTGTCAACTAAATCATAATTATGTATTCAGAAATAGGCAGAGTATTTTAAGTAATTTCCTCCAGTGTTCTCTTCCCTCCACCCCAACCCCCATATCAAAGATGTGATAAGGCAGAGCAGGAGTAGATGTTGAAAGTGTCAGATTATGCATTTGGTCTGCAAACCTTGTAACTCATGCTTTATTAGTGGACTTTGCAGACATCATTCACTTAATTAATTATTTAATGCATTTTGTGGAGGTAAGTACACGCCTATTTTTTCCATTTGGTTAGCGGGCCCAGCGTTTTTAAATTCTGAATTTAAAGTCCTTGCATGTGAAAGTACATACAATTTGCGTTCCAAACAAAACTTATTGTAGCCATTAAGATGGTAACCATTTCTTTTAAATTATGTTGTCAATACAACATAATTTAAAAGCGATGGTTACCGTCTTATTGTTTATTGTACGTTACCATCTTAATGTTGCTGCATTTTTTAATGCTCTAGTTTTTCAAAATGGAACAAAATGTTCTGTCTGCATCAATAAAAGTAGAATATTAAAGGACTTGTGAAAACCTTCTCTCATGCAGGAGTAAAAAACAGTTTACGTGTTCCATATATCTAATTCTTGGTTCATTTGTTTTAGAATATGTCTTTATTTTTAGGATAAACTCATTTGTATGTTTAAAAAGACCAGAATAAAGAGATTGTGAACTATAAAGCAACAACTTGTGAAAATGAAGTGCTGCAGAAACTCAGCAAGTCTGGATTAAGAAATAGAGTTAATGTTTTGAGTACAATATGACTGTTGTTCTGTTCTGAAGAGTCATAAAGTACTCAAAATTTTAACTGCTTCTCTCTCCACAGATGCTGCCAGGTCTACAGATTTCCAGCATCCACAGTATTTTGCTCCTAGAAAGTAGCAGGTGGACTTGGGTAAAGAACTGGAGACGTGATGATAACAAAGATGTACAGTCCAGACTGATGTTTTTGCCTTGGGAGAGTAGACCAAAATTAATTAAAGGCATTCCATAAACACCAAGAAACCCAATTATTTCAGATTTTAGTAGAATTTGTAATGATGGGATAATTAAAGGTTGGTTTGAGGGCAAACCAAATCAGACTACAGCATCATGGTTGACTGTCTGGTTTCAGTTTATCTGGGTGTTTGTTGCAAAATAGTTGCTGTTTGGACCTTGTGGTTTGCCACTCAGAGGGAAGGCAGCAAAATTAAATAATGGTTAGCTGAGTCTATGATGTGAGCATAGTACAAAAAATCATAACTGCTTCATAATCTATATAGAATATGTGTGAGGTTTAGTCTCTGTTTGAACTTTGTGAGGAAGTAGACACTGGGAGATTAACTTGTTCAGAACTAATGGAAGAATCTCCAGTAGTCCTCCACTGAGCCTTGTACAAAAGAAAACAATGGACAGGTTTGTTTGAATTATTGGGAAAATAATCAGAAAAGTGACTGAGACATTTGTTTACCATTTTTGAATGTGAACTTCTTTCCTCCAAAACTAACTGGAACCAAGGAAAATTAACGATCGTTTCTTGAAGACTCTCGTATGCTTAGGAGCTGTCCTTTACTGAGATAAATCATTTTAATATTTATGTGCCATAAAGAGAATTCTTGAAGGAAGTAAGAAGTAAATCTGAACTCATAACACATGGGTATGACCCTTATTGTTTTGTATTCTTATTAAGTATGTAAAGTTTTTTGTTTTAAAAAAAATGAAATCTTGTGGCATAGTTGTATTGCTTAAAATTAAGGGTTCACCTTTATTTTCAAACTCATTGGTCTCAAACACAAAAAGCGAGTATACAAGTTCAACCATCAATAGAGAAGGCAAAAGGAATATCGACCTCTCATTCAAAGAGAATGAAGTGTAAAAATAGGTTTGCTAAAACTATACAAGGCACTCATCAGACCACAGCTGGAGTACTATGAAGAGTTTTGGGCCGCTTACCCAAGAAAAGATATACTGGCATTGAAGGCATTCCAGAAAAGGCTCAAAAGGCTGATACAGGGAATGGAGGAACTGTCAGCTGTTCTGAAGAGCTTCAGTAGGTTGGGCTGTACTCTTTGGAGTTTGGAAGAATGGAAGGTGACCTTTTGAAACTTTTTTGGGAGACAACAGGTTAGATGTTGAAAGGTCTGTCCCCTTGTAAGAGAGTCTAGGACCAAGGGGTGTTATCTCAGAATAAGGGTTTGTCCATTTAAGACACAGATGAGGAATAACTTCTTCTCTGAGGGTAGTCAGTTAGTGGATTATAGAGCCTGGGTCATTAAGTATATTCTAGGCTGAGCTAGATTAAAACTCCGTCAGGGAAATGAAGGTTATGAGGAAAAGGCAGAAAAGTGAAATTGAGGATTAGCAGATCAGCCATGATCTCATATAAAATGGTGTAGCAGACTTGGTGGGCTGAATGGCCTACTTCTGCTCCTTTTTTAATTCATTCAAGGGATATGGTCCATGGCTGACCAGCATTTGTTGTGGTTGTGAGCTGCATATGCTAACACAAAACAGCACTTATCAGGCACTTTTTCTATGACCTCGGAAATTCCAGACAATGTACTGACAAACTGAACAATGTACTTTGTGAAATGTTGTCACCATTCTAATGGGGTCAGCCTGCTTAGCCCACAGCAAGCTCCCAAAAACACAATGGTGACAATAATCAGATACTTAATTTTAGCAATATTGAAGGAGTGCTGAATATTGGCTGAATATTGCTGAATATTAGGTAAAGATGAACCATTCTCCCATATGCTTTAAATAAGTTGTGTAATTAGTTGTACGACACTGTACCTTGTAAAAATTACTAAAGTATTTCAATCAAAAATGTTACATTTCATTGCAAGTTGCTCAATACTATTATTTCTGAGTAACTTGGTTACTGTAATGCAAATGCACGATTGCTAGCCCAGCATCTTACAAATAGAATTTGTAAGTTATTTTCAAACAAGTTTGTTTTGAAGTGTTTGCAGCAATTGTTGAAGCA